CACAGTCGTATTGTTTTTATGGACATTTACAGTAGCAAACTGTGTACATAAAGCTATGTTTGTACTACCCAAGAGCCTATTAAATGAACTCAGGAAAGAACTGTATGGGCTCAGCTTCAAACTGATAAATAAGCAAGAGAAACATGAGTGTCTAAGTAGTGTTTTAATTTCATTTTTGTTTCAGAATAAAGGGTATGGATTTTTGTGTTTATTTACCTGACTTCGAAGTCAACAGAAATACAAACGTCTAGCTATCTGTTCAGATTTTTTCTATTTGTGAAGAAAAGCATTAGACCCAGGCAGAAGGACCCATACCCTGCAGATGAGTAAGTTAACATCTCTGTGGAATGCAGTCACTCTGGGAAGTATAGTATGTAACTGTTTATAATTTTTTTTTAAAAAATTTTGTTTTCTATTCCAAATTCTCTCCCTTCACCCCTCTGTCACTCATTGAAAGAAATATGATACCCATTATATACATATGAAGTCATACTGAACATATTTCTACATTAGCTATTTTGCCAAAAAAAAAAATAAACAAGGAAAAAAAATGTGCTTCAATCTGCATTTAGAGTCCATCAGTACTCTATCTAGAAGTAGATGGCATTTTTCATTAGGAGACCTTTGGAATTGTTGTGGATCATTGTATTAATCAGAGTTGATGCAGATGGTTATCTTTAAAATATTGCTGCTGCTGCTGTGTACGTCGTTCTCCTGATTCTACTCACTTCACTTTGCATCAGTTAATATAAGTCTTCCCAGGTTTTTCTGAAACCATCCCTCTTATCATTTCTTTCTTTCTTTTTTTTTTTCAGTGAGGCAATTGGGGTGAAGTAACTTGCCCAGGGTCACACAGCTAGGAAGTAGTATGTGTCTGAGGCCGGATTTGACCTCAGGTCCTCCTGATTTCAGGGCTGGTGTTCTATCCACTGTGCCACCTAGCTGCACCACCACCCCCCCATCATTTCTTGTACCACAATGGTATTCCATCACAATCATATACCACAACTTCTTTGAAGGGCATCCCTCCAATTTCCGATTCTTTGCCACCACAAAAAAAAAGAGCTGCTATATATATTTTCATACAAATGGGTTCTTTCCCTTTTTTTTCTTTGATCTCTTTAGGTTATAAACCTAGTCTTTCTTGTCTTTTAGAGTCTTTTGGGCATAGATCTAAATTGTTCTCTGGAATGGTTGGACTAGTTCACAACTCCACCAACAGTGCCCTGGGACACTATTTCCCAATTTTTCCACATCCCCCCAGCATTTATCATCTTTCTTTTCCGTCATTTTAACCAGTCCAGTGGGTGTGAAGTAGTACCTCAGAGTTGTTTTAATTTGCATTTCTCTAATTATTAGTGATTTTGAGCATTTTTTTAAAATATGAGTTCTAATAGCTTTGATTTTTTCTAAAAACTGCCTATTCATATCCTTTGACCATCTGTCAAATGGGAAATGGCTCTTATTTTTATAAATTTGGTTCAGTTCCTTAATATATTTGAGAAGTAAGACCTTTATCAGAGAAACTTATTGTAAAATTTTTCCCAGTTTCTTGCTTTCTTTCTAATTTGATCTGCATTGGTTTTATTTGTATAAAGCCATTTTAATTTCATGTAATCAGAATATCCATTTTATCTCCAATGATCCTACTCATCTCTTGTTTGGTCATGAATTCTTCTTCTGTCTATAGATATGACAGGTAATTTTTTTCACACTCCCTTAATATGTTTATGATATCACCCTTTATGTCTAAATCATGTACCCATTTTGAACTTACCTTGGCATACAGTGTGAGATATTGGTCTGTCAGACTACTTTCACTTTTTCCTAGCAGTTTTTGGCAAAGAGTGAGTTCTTGACCCAATAGCTGGGATCTTTGGGTTTATCCAACACCAGATTATTATGCTCAATTGCTTCTGCATGTTGTTTATCTAATCTATTCCATGTATCAACCACTCTATTTCTTATCCAGTACCAAATGGTTTCAGTGATTACTACTTTGTAGTATTTAATTTGAGATCTGTTAATGCTAGGCTCCTTTCCTTCAAATATTTTTTTCATTGATTCCCTTGATAGTCTTGACCTTTTGTTCCTCCAGATGAATTTTGTTATTTTTTTCTAGCTCTACAAAAGTAATTCTTTGGTAGTTTGGTAGCACTGAATAAGTAAATTAATTTAGGTAGTGTTGTCATTTTTGTTATGTTGATTCAGCCTACCCATGAACAATTAATATTTCTCCAATTGTTTAGATCCATCTTTATGTGTGTGAAGAGTGTTTTGTCACTGCGTTTGTATTAGTTCTTATGTGTCTTGGTAGGAAGACTTCCAAGTATTTTATACTGTCTGCAGTTATTTTAAATGGAGTTTCTCTTTATATCTCTTCCTGCTTGGTTTTGTTGGTAATATGGAAATGTTGATGATTGTATGGGTTTATTTTATATCCTGCAACTTTGTTAAGGTTCTTAATTGTTTCCATTAGTTTTTTAGTTGATTCACTGGGTTCTCTAAGTATACCTTGTTGCCTATACATATTCCTTCTCTTTCTTTCTTCTTGTCTTATTGCTATATCTAGTTTCTAGTACAGTATTGAATAATAGTTGTTATAATGAACATCCTTGCACTCTGATCCTATTGGGAAGGCTTCTAGTTTATCACCATTAGAGATAAGACTTGCTCTTGGTTTTTGATAGATACTACTTGTCATTTTAAGAAGAGCTCCATTTATTCTTATGCTTTCTAATGTTTTTAATAGGAATAGATATTGTATTTTGTCAAAAGTTTTTCTGAAGCTATTGATATGATTGTGTGATTTTTGTTGTTTCTGTAATTGTAATGCCCTTTGTCTAAGGTTCTTAGGGGTTACATATATGTATCATCCTCCCATCTGGTAATGTCAACAGTTTATAAGTAAAGCCCTTATGATTTCTCACTAATGTCTACCTTTTTATGCTTCTCTTGAGACTTGCTTTTGAAAGTCAGATTTTCTATTTAGTTTGGATCTTTTCATCAGGAATGCTTGAAAATCCTCAATTTCATTAAGTGTCCATTTTCCTCCTGTAGGATTGTGCGAACCCTGAGTGAGGGTCCATACTTATCAGTTTTGCTGGATAGGTTATTCTTGGTTGTAGCTTCTTTGCCTTCTGGAAAATCATTCCAGCCCTTTGCTTCCTTATAATGAATGGTAGCTGCTAAATTTTGTGTGATCCTTACTGTGGCTCCATGGTTTGGACAATTTCTTTCTGACTTCTTGTGGTATTTTCTTCTTAACCTTGGAGCTCTGGATTTTGGCTATAATATTCCTGGGAGTTTTCATTTGGGAATCTTTTTCAGGAGGTGTGATCAGTGGATTCTTTCAATTTCTGCTTTGTCCTCTAGTTCTAAGATATCTGGGCAGTTTTCCTTTATCAAATTTCTTGAAATATGATATCTAGGCTCTTTTTTTTCATAGCTTTCAGGTAGTCTAATAATTCTCAGGTTGTCTCTCCTTGATCTCTTTTCCAGGTCAGATTTTTTCCTATGAGATATTTCACATTTTCTCCTTTTATTTCCAGGCTTTTGACTTCTATTGTTTCTGATGTCTCATGGAATCATTAGCTTCCACTTGACCAATTCTAATTTTTAAGGAGTTAATTTTTGCTGAATTTCTTTTTTGTTTATTTTACCAGGCTATTAATTGTCTTTTCCTAATTTTCTCGTACAAGTTTCATTTCTTTTCCTAATTTTTCCTCTACCACTCTTTTTTGATTTTTCAAATCTTTTTGTTGTTGTTATTTATTTTAGAATTTTTAGGTTCTTTCTTTAGCTCTTCTGACTTATTGGGCTTGTGTCCAATCTGCATTTTTTTCTTTGAGGCTTTGCTTTTAGATGTTTTTAGGTTATTGTCTTCTTCTGAGTTTATGGCTTAAGCTTCCCTATCACTATAATAGCTTTTTATGGTTAGGTTCTTTTTGTTGTTGTTGTTGTTTGCTCATTTTTCTAGCCTACTTCTTGACTTTGGATTTTATATTAGAGTTGGGCTCTGCTCACCTCTGGGAGGGAGGAGGTGGAATTCACCTGAGCCTCTGTCTTTTCTGTCCTTTTGATTTACCATCTCAATCTAGGGCCCGTAGTTTTTTGATGCTTCCAATGTGATGTGATCTGTGAAAAGATCTGGTCCCCACGCTTCTGATCTGCACTCCATTCTTGGAACTGAGACCTTCAACTGAATAATGAACAACAGAGCTGCCTTATCGTGCCTGTTCCTGTGCCCAGTTCTAGTACAGGAGTCCCTGGGGATCTTTTTCTGACCCGGTGTTTGGTCCCCTCATCACTCCTGGGTACTGCTCCGCTACAGCCCACAGCCAGTGTTGCTTCCGCCACTGTCCACACTCCATCCAGGCCCCTGCTGCAGTGTCCACAGACCTCTTTTTCTACCTTCCTAAGCTGCCCTTGGATGAAAAAATTATTCATTATGACTTTTTCTTAGCTTTCCTGCTCTGGATTCTGTTTGATATTTTCTATGGTCCTTTTATAGGAATGGTTTTGGGGGATGTTTGGCAGTTGTGACCTTGGACTCTACCATCTTGACTTTTTGGGGGGGGGGGCTAGGCAATGGGGTCAAGTGACTTGCCCAGGGTCACACAGCTAGTAAGTGTTATGTGTCTGAGGTTGGATTTGAACTCAGATCCTCCTGAATCCAGGGCTGGTGCTCTATCCACTGGGCCACCTAGCTGCCCCCCATCTTAACTTTTTAAAGATGTCAACATAGCTTTCAGCAAGTGAAAGCATTAAAACCTAACTCATACTAAAGTTACATTGACCTGTGAGGTTTTATTTAGTGTATGTTAATAATTCCATATCACTTACTTCCAGTACTATTGAAATTTACCTTCTTTAAAAATAGTATACAGATTTATTATTAAAGTATTCACAAAATGATTTTATATATTGTTAAAGATTTTTAAATGTCTTTATTTGATGGAATGAGATTCATTTTTCAATTTTTTTCTTATTTTGTTTAGCTGTTCTTCCACTATGGAAAATAGTTGATAGTAGAAAGAAAGGAGACAACAGAACCAAAAAAGGTAGTGAACTTCATTTTCTCTTCTAAATGTTCAGTTTCACGCCTACTATTATAATAACATTTCATATTCTCCTCTTTTTGCTAGAAGTTTCATTTCCCAAACCCTTTCCCTCAACTTCCATTCCCCTCCAGTGACCTGGGCAGGCAGCTGAGTATCTTTGAAAATGCATTTGCTATTCTAAATGCTCCAACAGGAATTCTGTAGGGCCTTGGCCTTTTCAGGAGAAAACAATGTTGGGAGTCTAGGGGGCGGCTCTGCTAAAGTAGAAGCTATTGGGCAGTGGTAAAAGGACTTGAAAAGCAGCTTCTTTCCCAGCTGAAGACCTTGAACTTTTAGTTCCATATTTAGAAAAGTTAAATCAGGAGTGTTTCACTGTTTGGGGGCTGGGATTTTGTTGGTTTCTTTTCACTACTAAGTTTTACTAAAAGAACAATCAGATGTTAAGGAGCCATCAGGGAAGTGCTAGAGATCCAGGCATTTTGCAGGGATAAGATCGCAAGGCCATCAAGTCATTATTGACCATCCCTCCTCCTCTCTGGGTCATCATGCATTACACTCAAGACATACACATAGACTCTTGAGTTCTAGTGAAGGTTCTCTAGAAGAGAAAATAGTAGTTTTTATTGACTTTTCCAACAAGGGGCTTTAGAACCCTATTATTGAAATGATGTTATCTAGAATTCTTCATTCTGGATTTTAGAGGGTTATTGGAGGAGTGGGGTGGGGGTTGCCATTTTTTGGCCTTTTCCTTTAAACTTTGAGTCTTTACACAATCTTATTCCAGTGTCTCATCCTAGCATAGGGGTGACCCTGGGTCCCCAAAGGCTGTGGTACTGACATAGTCTCACTTGAGTAGTTTCTACCATTCAGACATTGAGCATGGCCATAGCCACAGACTGTCTGCTTTCTGAGAACCAGCCTAGCTTAATGTAGAGAGTTGTTTAAACAGTAGACTGGTTACTTGGGGATGAATCCTTTGCTGTGGCAACCCACAAAACAAAGAAAAATACAAACAGACCCTTAGCCCTTTATGGCTCCCTTTGTCTTTCTTCAGTGATGGTGGCAGAAGAGGGGCAAAGAGTGCTAAGAGTCAAGCAGATTTTAATCAGTCTACAAATGTTAGCTTGGATATTAGTAATCTAAATGTGAAATCTTTTGTCCAGTGACCAGTAAATGGGCCTCCTACTGGAGAAACTTAAAAAGTATCAATCTTGGCATTATCACTAAAAACAAAGCCAACAAATGAAAGAGTTGGTTTTATTATGTATTCAAAGGCAACAATAAATATCATATCATGACATAGTCACCTAATATTTTAGTATTCATAATATAATAATTTGTAAAAAGCCTACTGTGAAGCTAAATGTGATTATGTACCAATATCTGTTGCAGACTGAGGAGACAGAGAAAATCTATGAAAAACTCAATTAGACCCTCCAATTTAAATCAATATGTGTTTTGATATTCACTAACTTCCAAGAAAAGTTATGCATAGGAGAGAATGTAAAAAAAAATATTGGAAAATATGCTTCAGGAGTAACAAATGAGAGAGGCTAAAGGCTTGTTAGAATGTACAGAAGCTTGTGGCCATATAGGATATACATCTTCTTAAAAAAAAAATAGTCAGGAAACACTAGATGTGGTAAACAACAAATAAAATCACCAAAAAAATTGTTGACCACTGGTTACCAATACGAGAGTCAAACAGCTTTATGAGTATAGTCAGATCATCTAGTTCTTAGAACAAGAATCAAAATTAATACCAATCCAAAGTTCCTTCCAGCTCTAAACCTGTGATCTTGTGATCCTAGAAGAAAGACTGAAAAGAAAAGAAAACATGGTCTTTAATTTAAGCAGTCACAACTTGACCTGTTGCCACTGATGCCAAAAATACTAAATCAATTTTAAAAACATGTCAAAACAAACTATCATTTCCTAAGGAAGTTTAACCAAAATAAATTAATCACCCCAACAAAGAGATATTTGAAAAAAAAACGACTAGAAATCACTTTGGCCAACAAACATATCATCTCCTTGCTAGGCAGAGAAATATGATAGTAAAGTACAATACCTATTTAGAATACAACCTTATTTGCAAAATCTCCAGGAGGAAGATGGTGAAAAATTATGATGTGTCACTCATAAAATAGTGAGGAAGCAAGGAGGAGGAAAAAACTTTGGAAGGAGAGCTTGGCAAGAGATATACAAGAGCTAGTCATCCCAGGTGCATTTTGGGATGAAAATGGAAGGAGGATAACACACTAAAGGAAAATGGAAAAGACTTGAAAAGAATTTTCAAAGTTGTTCCTTTTACCATCAGAACCACCACACTCGGGCTCTGAGCAGTCTAGTTTTGGACAAGCTTCTGTAGGAAGTGGAAGTGACTCTGAGGTAAACAAGAAGGAGCAGAGCACTGAACTTGACCCAAGTTCAATTTTTAATTCACTGTGTGAAAGAAACTTATTGCAAATTCTTTAGTAATATAAAAATTCCTTTGAAAAGAGTCTCATACTAATTTAGCTATTGTGTAAGCAAGTTTAAATTAGTTTGTGTTCAGTTTTCTTAGAATGAGAAAACTACACAATGTTTAAAGAAAAATTTTCGAAATATGTTTGGGCAGTTAAGATGGTATAAACATTTTCAGAAACATTTTCTTTTTAATAACATTTTGCAGTTTGGACAACCCAGGGAAAATGTTTTGGAATATATGTGCACATCCCTTTTATGAGCAATATGCCATTGTAGACATGGCCACACAGCTTTCTTTTCAATATGTCAGGCTGCCACTTGAGACATCATGCTATCTTTTTAAGGACACCACCACAGCTGTGTAAACGAAAAAATAAAATGAACAATTAAGAGCTATGATGTTTAAAAGCTAATTCTGGCTTCTCTATTGGTTTTGAATGTCTAACAGAGAAAGTCAAAGCTGCAGTCAGAGATTTATGTTTCTTGAATTGGACTTTTTCTAGTCAGGTTCGTGAGTTGTATTTGTCCTTTTAGTGATTTTGGCAGTTAGCTGTGGAAAACTAAGTGCCCAGACCATAGCTCAAGGTTAATAGTCAGTGGGAAATAAAGATTGGAAAAGTGTCATTGAGAGTCAGCACTGAGCTTGAAGAAAATAAGAAATTTAGTTGTATGTGTGTCGGATGTTAACTGCTTTGCAAACTTCAGAAGATAGGTATGTGAGGCAAGCCTCAGTGTGCTATGCTGGGAAAGTATGCTGTGAAAGGTTTTGGAGCTTTCCGCCTCAAGCTAGTTTTGCATAGTTTCTGGCTGGTATTTTTATCTTGTAATTATGCAAAAAGTCATATTGATTTGGAGGACTGAGAGGTCTGTTGGCATAGATGATGGAATCACATTCCCTTCTGAATTAAGTGGTTATTCCTAAAATGAGTATAGACCTTTAAAAAAAGACACACAGTACATAAGGTCAAATACTATAAATGCTCCCAGCATTCAATCAGACCTCAAGATAGAAAAGATATTGCACTCAATGTGTTCTAATAGTTAGACAGCTTGAGATTTCTACATTCAAGTTAAGCCTTATATCTATGGCCCTTCCTCTACAACAATCCCACACTTCTGAGCTTCTGTGATAATGGAATCACCCTGTTTGTCTGATGACTTCAAAATTATGGCACTTTCATAATTTGGACCAGAGAATTTCGTTTAAAGTCATCTATACTAATCGTATCATTTGTTGATAAATTCCTATTCTAGAGTCCAATCTTCCTTCGTTTCACTGTAAAAAAAGTTAGGAGAAACTGATAGTGCCCAAATGGCATAACCACAGGTTACATAATAAAACCCAACTCTAGAAAGTCAGGTAAGGAACCTATTCTAAAAATAACATGACAATAAATAAAACTATATGCTTGGGAAATGTAGGTGATGTAAAAGCAAAAGATATCTGCATTGCTCCAAGACCTTTTTCTACTAAGAAGCTCCAAGCATTCAAAAGACAAAGTTCAACAACCGATGAATCAATCAGCATTTATTAGGCGGCTTCTGTGTGCTGGGCATTGTGCTAAGCACTGGTGATACAAAAGGAGGTAAAAGACGGTCCCTGCCTTCAAGGAGCTCACAGTCTAATAGGGAACATCTTAATACATCTAATTTATCTTAGGCAAGTACTAATAGATTCTTACATTAAATCTTTTTTCCTGGCCGAAATGTTACATTTTTAAAACATCTTCTTACCCTTGAGAAACATGTAACAATCTGAGACATTCTACCCTTTCATAATTGTTTGAGTTAAATGAGTTCTTCGTCACCACCTTTCAAAAAGAAAATATCCATTGAGGATCTAATAAAGGAAATATTTAATGATTCATTTGGATGATGTATGGAATATTAGTCTACTATTATGTATATAGTAAAAAATTTCAGTTTGAGTAAAACATAAGAGCGAAGGACAAACCACACAGCAACCACACAGATGTTCCCGTACCATCCCTTCTACAAAGAGGTGAGTCCCACAAGTGTTGTGCACTGCTGGAGCTTCAGCCTTTTTCAGTGTATTGATTAGTGATGCTGATTTTTTTTCCTCTTCTTTTTTTTGTCTATAAAAATAATATTTGTTATATGGAATAGCTCTCTGAGAAAGGGAAGAATACTGGTGGAAAGGGAAACTGGTGTAAAAAATATATCAATAAAAACTTACTTTAAAATGGAAACAAAGGCAAACATAGAATTTTATATTTGATCCTGGAGGTAATGGGGGGAGCCACTGGAGTTTAATGATGGGGGGGGTGAAGGTGGGGTGACATGTTCAAATCTGCACTTTGGGAAGATCACTTTGGCAGCTGAGTGGTTATCTGTTTTCTTGCCTTAGTGCCTACAAGTATTGCTGGCATTGTCACTGGATTCCATTTAAGTTACCTCTGAGCGCATTCTAAAGGAGGGAGGTGAATCTGAGCAAATAAGAGAATTAGAACTCTCAGTTAAAATGGCCCAATATGACCCCTTCCTTTGACTGTCTCTAGACTTGTATTCCCTTAATTCTGTCAGGTTAATGTCAGCAGAAATCCGCCATGGCAAACATCTCTGCTACCTTTCCATGGAAACTGAGAGGGTGAAGAAACGTAGCCATGGTTCTGAGACTCTTTCCACTCCACATCATCATGTGTCTTCTCCATAGATGGAACTTCCATATAAGGAAGAACACAAGAAACCTTATCCATCCCTGACATGAAAGGATAGAAGACAGAGATGGCCCTCAGCATATGTGGAGGCAGATCAAGTCTGCTCAACCCGGGAGCATGTCCAAGTAACACACCTGCCAGGGAGGGCTCAGGCATCTAGTGACTTTATACTATGGTTTTGCTGTAATGCAAAGGTCCAGACGATTAGATTCAACCCCATATTTTTTTTTTAAATGCTCTTGGTATAAGACTGTGAGGAGAAGCCCCTGGCCTGAACTCTGAGATTCTCAGAGCCAATTTAGGGAGCCTACAGCTACCCTCACTAGCGTGCTTTGAGTCTAGGACAGGTCCTCGGCCAATGAACCCCTGAACAGGAATGTAAACTCTGAAGTTCATCCAAAGATTTCAAGACATTTTGGAGAACCAGTGAGTTCATGTCCTTCGTGACACTCGTTTATGAGCTCGAAGCGCCATGAGATCCCCAGAACGGACAACCCACATGGTTCCTTTGACCTGTAAGATGGCCCAAACCTGAAGATCATCCTCATTCCTCTTCTCAAAATCAGGCCAGGGATTTTGAGACCATTCAAAGGCAAATGGTCACCTCATCATCCAGCGGCTGGTATGCTGTGGTTATAGAACACACCAAAGACATGCGATGATCCTCAGGCCGGCAGCTTCCCTAAACAATGACAAAGCTATTTCCACCAAGACAGTTTTCTTTCCTCTGCTTGAAAGTATTGCCATATTCAGTTATTTTCCATCAATATGAAGAGAATTCAGAAAGCAGATAACGCAAAGACCATTCATATTTGATTCTGTAATATACCTGTAGTTTTGTTGTTTGGAGTTTGGTTTGCTTTTGGGGTTTAGGAGTGGTTTTTTTGGTGGTGGTGGTGGTGGTGGTGGTCGTGGTTTTGTAGCTGCAACAGAAGACCTGCACGCTAGTTTGCATTCCCTGGGCACATTCCGACTGATGTGAGAGTTTGTGGGGGTGCCGATTGACAATGGAGACATCCATAAGTAACTAATTTAGAATTGAAGGTGTTTTGTGTGTTGATTCTCTTGTAGTGTGTTCCTGCCATCCCGTTGGATCAGCTGTTCTTCCCTTCAGCTTATCAGCCTTCTGTGACCCCAGCAATGGTGACTGCCCTTGCAAACCTGGAGTGGCAGGCCCTCGTTGTGACAGGTGTATGGTAGGATACTGGGGTTTTGGAGAATATGGCTGCAGACCATGTGACTGTGCAGGAAGCTGTGACCCCCTCACAGGGGACTGCATCAGCAGGTGAGCAGACAACCTCTTGGCTCTTACCTTATTTCTTTGGATATCTGGAATGCTATTAATCATGTAGAAGAAACTCCAAAATCGGGGGTAGATGTCTTAGAAGGGTTTAGTAGGTGGACCTTATAGTTGGGCCTCCTATAAAGAATTCTTTCAGGGCTTCGGGAAAGGCCAAGACTCTGGGAATCACATTTTCCCCATTTTGTTGTAAGATGAATGATTCCTATTAACAACAGACCCTGAGATCCAAGAGAAAAGATTCTCTGTTAAGTTTCTGAAAAGTAGGAGTCATGGTGTAAGTTTTGTATCTCTGGAGACATAGGATACTTTCTACCGAGGGCTAAGGGAGTCCTTTAAGAGATGTTTCACATCAACTGAACCACAACAACAAGTTGCTAGGCACTGTGCTAAGCACTGGGAATCAAAAGAAATGCAAAACTTTGGTCCCTAACTTCTCATGGATGAAACAATATGCAAAAAGCTATATACATAAAAGACACATGCGATGTAAGTTATTTCAATGATTCCAATCTCCGAAGGAAGGCGCTAGCATGATATGGGGGTGAGGGAAGGAGGCTTCTGTGGGAGGTGAGATTTGAGCTAAGTCTTGAAGGAAGCCAGGGAAGTTACAATTTGGAGATGAGGATGGTCAGCCCTTCAGACCTGGGGAATGGGCAGGGACAAGCCCCAAAGTCATATGAGGAAAAGCAAGTAGCCAGCATCACTGGATGGTAGAGTACTTGGCAGGCAGCAAAGCGTAAGAAGTCTGGAATGGCAGGAAGAACTTTTAGATTCTGAGTTTGTTTTATTTGCCTAGTTGTGATTTTGTCATTGGTGCTCAGTCGTTTCAGTTACGTCCAACTCTTTGTGGCCCCATTTGGGCTTTTCTTGGTAAAGACACTGGAGTGGTTTGCCATTTCCTTCTCCAGCTCGTTTGACAGATGAAGAAACTGAGGCAAACAGGGTGAAGTGATTTGCCCAGGGTCAGACAGCTGGTAGGTGTCTGAGACTGGATTTGAATTCAGGAAGATGAGTGTTTCAGACTCTGGGCCCGACACTCTGTCTATTGCACCAATTGCTGTCCCAGCTGTGATTACCGACTGGCTACTCTTATCTTTTGATATTGATAGGATTTAATGACTGTTTGTTAATCTTCTCATGAATAATAATGTTTAAAATTTTTAAGCCATAGTTATAACTCATTTTGAACTTTGTTGTGGTACAATTTTATCTTAAAATTGCATTATGTTCATATATAACTATTGTCTTAACTCATTTTTATATTTTCTCTTCTGGCAAAAGTATCCTTTTCTGTTTAACGGGGCCAGAAAACAATAACAAAGTAAACCAATTAAAAAGAAAAAAATGTTTCACACTTGCACAGTCTATCACAGTGAAAAGAGGGCTGAAGGTGGGATCCAGAGACCTGGGCTGTGGTCCTTCTTCTTTTCCCCCTTCCCTCCCCCATCCATGACTTTGACTTTGACATCTCTGAACTTCGATTTTCTAAATTGTAAAATGTGTAACACTACTCACACTGCCTACTTCACAGAGTTGTTACAAGGATCAAATGAGAAAATGCTTTGTAAACTGTAAAGCTCCATACAATGTGAACTCTAAGGATTATAGTTGAAAATGTTAATTGTAACACAGTCCACTCTGACTCTCAGTGCCCAAAGGTCCGGATGTGTTAGAGTTTATGGTTTCCCTTTCCCCCCACCAGGGTTCTCTAGTCCCCTAAAGGGGGATTTGTGGGATGTCTCAGCTCTGTAGATGGTTCCAGTCTCCACTAATGATGCGCCCTCAATTTTAGGAGGTGGTCTGCACCCTAGTTCCATTTAGCCACTAATAATGAGATTAGCTTTAACACAGAAATATTGACTTCAGAAAGTATAATCACACGGGCAGCTAGGTGGTGCAGTGGATAGAGCACCGGCCCTGAAGTCAGTAGGACCTGAGTTCAAATCCGGCCTCAGACCAAACACTTGACACTTACTAGCTGTGTGACCCTGGGCAAGTCACTTAACCCCAATTGCCTAAAACAAACAAAAAAAAAAGTATAATCACAAAGATACAAACTTACTCACCCAAGGAGGCACAATCCCCACCCCTTTTTACCACCTCAGTCTCTGGGAAAGGGAAGAGGATTAGGTTTCCGAGTCCAGAACCCCCCTGGGGCTCAAGTTTCAGGCACCCTGGCTTCTCTGGACTTTAGGACAGGGATGGCTGGCTGCAGTCTTGGCACCAGCGTCTCTATGGCTTGAAGTCCTGGTCCCCCGGGGATCACTTCCAGCACCTGAAACTGAAGAGGACAGACAGCAGATATCAGAAACAAGCAACCCCAGCCCCATTTCTCAGAGCCAGGGGTGAAAGGAGAGCAGGGGAAGCAAGTCCTTCCCCCTCCCCAGTTCAGTTCATGGCATCCTGCCTTCGGGTGAACTGGGATCGTCATCCTCCGGACGCAGCAGTTAACAGCTGCCAAAAAGAGAGCTAACAGCTCAGTCTGGGCAGTTTTAAAGACACAGGCAGGCAATCAAAGGAAGCACCCTGGCTCGCCTGGTCCGATAACTTCCTTAGGTTATAAACCTCAGGATTTCCGGATCAAAGGATAGGAACAATATTGTGACTTACTATAGGGTCACATACAGATTTCCAAAATGTTTGTACCAATTTACAGCTCCATCAACAGTGACTTGATAAGCATATTTCCTCACAGCTCCCTGCAACTTGGAATTTTTCCGTCTTTGCCAGTGTGATATGAGTATAATATTATGTTTCATTTTTAATTTACATTTCTCTGATTACTGGCTCTAAACACGATTGTTGATCATTTGTGCAGCTTCTTTCAAAAGCTGACTATTCGTGTGCTTTGACCAATGTGACATATTCTTATTCATAGTTTGACTTTATTACAGCAGTGCAGATGTTGACTGGTACCATGGACTTCCAGACTTCTACCCTGTATTTAACCAGAGTGAACCAGCCTGGGAATGGGAGGACGAACAAGGATTCTCAGCTCTTCGACATTCAGGTGAGAAGGAAGACAAAGTCAGCTCTTTTTTCCTAGCCCAGTCTGAGGCAATAGCAATTTTTAATACCCGACAGTAAAAACTTTGCTCACAGTGGATGAAAAAGCAGCATAATGGTACTCTTTAGTTCTGAGGTGATGAGACAGAACTTACCATACAAGTGTGTATCTCTTGGGGGGACATGTTGGGACAAAAAGAGCTATATAACAAAGGCTAAGGGTTCATTTTTACTCACAAAAGGAAAAATAGAGGAAGAAAAAACCTAAAATCATATCAAAGTTTAGAAAAGAAAAAATATCAGTGGTTACAACCAAAAATTTTTCCTCTTAATGCTTTCTAGTTTGATTTCTGTACATTGAATTTATTTACTGTTCATTTAATGAGAACTTGAAACATTCTTCCATAATTCTAACATAACGTTATTTATATAGTCTTGTAGTCTGCTAAGGAAGATCTCTGAGGATCAAGCTTTTAAGCTTATGTGACATTCAGTTAGCCAATTATGCGTGTTACTAGGGAGCTGGCATCAACCCAATTAGGCATGTAACTCAGTGCTGGCACCAGAGTGACTCCAGTCTCTCTCATCCACATTAACAGCTGTGCTGTCTGTGATGTCCCTCAAGACTATCTGGAATTCGTCTGGGTGAGCTCCAGCTTAGAGAAGTTATTGTTCAGTTTCCTGCTAAACAGCCATCTTCCTCTGGGTGTAGAATAGCTCCCATGGACACCCCCTTTCAGCAAGGAGCAATGCGCTGTGTCCCAAGCATGCAAGTGTGGTAGACACAGTGAGATCTGTATTCAAACAGCTGTGTATATCTACCTACCTATGTGAAGGGAGTCACTGAACCAGGAACTTAGGGCCTATACCAGCAGCATTGCCTTAATTCCCACAACTTCTTGTGAGGTAGAGAGCACCAGCTGAAATATTTCATTTCCTGAACAACAAAATTGGCTTTGACTAATACTGCAGTAGTATAAACAATCCTATTTCTTTAACTTTCTAATAACCCAGTATAACACAGCAAGCGTTTTTTTCCCCTTCCAGATTTAGTTTTTGAAAAACAAAGGCCGAGTTGAGACCTAATCAGCAAAGCTTATCCTAGGGTCAGTTTTAATACTTGACCACCATAATTTCCGAAATTCTTCTTCCAAAGCCTCTGCCTGGCATGAAGGTGACCCTGGCTTCCCAAAGGCTGTGCCAGGAGAGGAAGCTGTGGCAGATCCTTCCAAGCTGGGAAGGCCTTGCCTGTGGGCTGGATGACTGACTAAATGTCTGGTCATTACCACATAGACCACAAGGTAAAAAATGTTGAGACAAAGCAGTTCTCAAGCTCTCTCACAAGTCAAGGGGAATCGATAAAGGAAGCAGCCACAGAGATGAAGTCCTGGCTCTTAGACAGGTGAAATGGTCCAGGGGACAGAAAGACCTGCTTCAAGCACCATAACTGTGATTCTGAACAAGTCACTTCACCTCCACCTGCCTCAGTTTTCTTATCTGTAAAATGAGATAGTAACAGCAGCTACCTCACTGGCTTGATTTGAAGATCAAATGAGATCATTTACGTAGAGTACCCTGTAAACCGTAAGTTGCTATATAAACGTTAGCGGTTAGTAAGTACTAGGCTTTCCTCCCTTCCCCCCCCCAAAAAAAAGAAAGACCATAGGATAAGGGGATAAGAGAGCAGGAGATCTGGCTTCTAGGCTCTACCATGGCCTGTGTGTGAGACCTCAGGCAAGTTCTTTTTGGCTTGAGTTTCATCAGCTCTAATAGGGGTTTGGACTAGAAATTCCAGGCCTCAAATTCTAACAATTCTATCAAGTGCTGTTATTCAGTACTTCTGAGGTGTGTGAGAAAGCAACCAGAGAGAGGTGCCAGTGTTTTTATAGGCCTGAGACTAAAGAGAAGAGCCTCACTTCTTGGAGGTGGCCTTAGGAGGTCCTGCTAGGTTTTCTGGCACAGCATGTCAGTGGTGCCTTTGTGGAGTCATCAGGAGGCCTTGTGCTGTATTCTCTGGTCACCTGGCTGACAGCATCCTTGAATGGAGCATGGTGTTAGGCACCACTGTTCTCTTTCCCACTGTTTAGTGTGTTACTATAGTCAGCATTGATTTCGCCACCATGCTGTTTTAGGAGGAGAACCTGAGGCCGCCCACAGCCCAGTTGGGATGCCTGTGGATTCTGTTGACACTGAGCTGCAGCTACATTAATAATAATAATAATAATAATAATAATTGCCAGCCTTTACCACATGCTTACCTTTATAGGGTGTTTTGTGTACATTATGTCATTTGATTCTCATTACCCTAGAAAGCAGATGCTCTCATTATCCCCATTTTATGGATTAAAAAAACTGAGGCAAACAGAGGTTAAGTGACTTGCCTCTGGTCCCACAGCTGGGAAGCATCAAAGGCTAAACCAATGATTCTCTTGCTCTTATCGTCAGGCTAATCATCATAGAATTATTAGATTTTTCAAGTTGGAGAAGACATGGAATTTTTAGTCCAAATCCCTCCTATTACAGATTATGAAACTCAAGCCAAAAGGAACTTACCAGAGGTCCCACGCTAGTCCATGGCAGAGCCTAGAAGCCTGGTCCTCTGCCCCTTATCTCATTATTATCTCACGGCTTTTCTTTGTTGGTGAGGAAGGGAGAGGAATGCATAGGGAACGAGTCTATGATTCCATTGGTGTAGAGAACCAAGGCAGATTAGCAGCTGGTCTGCAATTTATAGTCTTAGATAAGGGCCTGGGACACTGAGAGATTGTGACTTGCCCAGGGTTTCCATGGTTTTTCTGCTCTATCACCCCATACCAAAATAACAATTTTCTGTAAAGATGTAGGGTCATGGCTATGAGATGATGCTCTTAAGCTGAACAGAAAATTTTAGTTCTCCCTGTCCTAAGAGTGGAGACTAGTATGGGTTTACACATTATATCAGATTCTCTGAACTTTCTATAGGGCCTTTGCTACTCTAAAATAACCACACATCCATCAACCGTTGTTTAAAATTGTTTCAGCCAACGTGGTTTTAAATACATGGGTTAAATATTACTAGTAATTTTTTCTCAAAAAAGACAAAATTTTCCCTAGTCTCATGTGCCACAGAAAAGCAAGGAGAGCCATATAAATTAGATAATGTTTAAATCATGAGACTCAATCTCTAGACTCAATTTTCTATCCAGTTTCTCACATTCACCCCACACTTACCATATTCCCCTTTATGATTTTGTAAATCTATGTACAAACTAAATTATTTTTCTGCTAATATGTTAATATAGTTAACTCTCACTTAATTATTCTTCCTATTATCAATACCCTTTATGCCTTTACAATCCAGTTGGCTCCCTGCCTGAATAGGGAGGAGGTTAGGGCTGGACAAAATACGCAAACATGTGAAAAGTTAAATAACAGCAAAGAAGTTCAGCCCTTAATTACTCTCAAAAAATTTTCAGCTTGGCACTGAGAAAGCTGATAACCTATTGGATGTAAATACCCATCCAACTCCATTCATAATAAAATGTTCTTTCCCCTTGTTACAATCATTACAGGGTCTCCCAATCCATCGACCCATTTCTGGATTCACTTCTCCCTCTCCCCTCCAGCCTGGAACCCAGGTTAGGCATTCCAACCAACTATCTTCTACCTGAGAACATAGATTCCCTTTACCGCCTTGAACTTGTGATGTCCCTGCCTTACCAACTCCAATAATAGATAAATCCCACTGCTTTCTTTGCTTCTGTTCCTGGAATAACTAAGGAAAGTCACAGAACAGATTGACTACACTCCAAATTGATGCTATTTAACCTCAAAGTAGGACATCAGTGTTCACTGGAAATCCTTGGAATTCCTCTTTAATGGCCTTCCTGTTGCATTCTCTGCAATAATTGTTCCATATCTTTGCTGCTCTTCTCAAGGCCACAGCCCAACGCCGACTCCCTTCATTCTCAGTAGATGACCTAGCCTCAGACTTAGAAGATGCAGGCTCCCATAAGTTCTCTCTTGTTCATCTCACCATTTATCTTTCTCTCCTGTTCTACTTTTTGCCCTCCCTTCTTCTCTTGGAGAAAGCATCCCCCTCTTCCCAAGGTGAACTTCTCCAATGCATCCTTGATCCTGTGGCTTCCACTTTGCTGACTCTTGTTATACCACCTGTTATCCTGCCTCGCCCTCTGTGTTGGCTCCTTCTGCTGTGCCTATGATGTGGTCACATCTGTTCAGTCCTAAAAATTAAAGTAAAAATAAAACTTCCCTGGATCCTAAAGACTTTGGTGGGGAGAGAGAAGAAACAGGGAAAGGAGGACTAAGTCCATTGATTCCCCCCATCACCCTTTTAGGAAAATGACCAAGATAGTGGAGAGATTAGAAATCATTCCGTTGAGGATTACTTGGAGGAACTGGACATGTTTAGCCTGTAGAAGAGAAGACTTAAGAGGAATGCATTATCCATCTTCAGATATTGGAAGTGCTTTGATGAGGAAGAAGGGTTACACCGGTTCCGCCTCACTTCAGAGGAAAGAACCAGGGGCATGGGTGGGACTTACAGGAAGCCTTACCAATTAAGGCTGCCTCAGAATGTGGGGAGGCCCCCATCACTAGTGGTCTTTAAGACTGGATGACCATTTGTGGGGAAGAGTACAGAGGGGATTCCTGCCGTTGGTGGGAAACCTGAAATTCTGTGACGGTACCATCCTCTCTCTCTTCAGCCCTCCACAGATAAATAAATTTAATTCATTTAGACGGTTCTGCAACTCCCTTGTTCTTCTATGGGTCTAAATAATTTTCATTTGTCGTTGTGGCTAGTGCTTTCTTGAGCACACTGAGAAAATGACTTAAGAGGACACAGTTATGTTACTTGAATTTACTTGTCAATTTTCACCTTTGCAGTGTTAATGAAGATAAATCTTTGTTTGCTTTTTTTTAGGTAAATGTGAATGTAAAGAACAATCGTTAGGAAACCCCAAAATCTTCTGTGGGATGAAGTATTCATATGGTGAGTTAGAAGAAGAAAATCAGTTTCTTTGCTCCTGAGAACCATTATCTATTAATTCTAGAGAGGCTTTGGAAATCAGTACAAAGCCTGCGTCAGGCCCTCATAAATATTTGTCTTGTGTAGTACTATTGAAGACCTTGCCACAGGCTCGACCAGTATTAGACCAATATGTAGAGAGTGGTGCACTCACCAAGGAGAAGAGTTTGTTGGGATGCTGGCAAAGATAGTCTCTGGCAGCACCGTACTATTATAAGAATGAGGTGAAACAAATAAATAGGGAAAAAAATGTGAAATGAACATAAATGTTTCTGACAAGCCCTTTCTTAGTCAAACGTGGGTAGTAGGGAGCTGCTTAAAACTGTGTTACATGGGCATGGAATACATGTGGACCACGCAGACTTTCTTCTACATTGATCGCTTTGTATCCTTGACACTGACTATAATCGTTCCCCAAAGAAGTTTAATAGATACAAACCATTTGCTGTGAGACCAGAGAACCTAGAAGCCAGCTCAGCCAGTAAACCCTGGCTGTCCTTGCTAAGTAGAACTAGGTGGTGGCCAAAGACCACATGGGTTTAGAACATAGACTCCTTTGTACAGTCTTATGGTGGAAGATTATGGGCAGCTACGTCTCATAAAACAGTAAGAAGCAGTGCTGGGAAACACCATGTTAAAGAAAGCTTGTCAAGAGACCCAACTGAAAAAGTCATCTTGAGGGCACTTAAGGACTTTAACTGGAAGGAGGTTAACACCGAGATGAAAAAAATGGAAAAAGACGTCCAGAGGTTTTTATAACATACTATTTTTACCGTTAAGGACAGGGCCGCCACACTTGAATTCCCAACATTGCAGTCCCAAGATGTCCCGTATGAGGAAGTGGAACTGCCGCTGAAGAAATAGAGAAAGGAAGCTAGACTGGACCATGTATATACAAAGGGGCCTTATTGAAATCATGTCATTTGAGCCCCGAAGGACTGATTCTCAAACTTTCTGAAAGAGGGGAAGATACCAAAGGAATTTAAAAAAAAAAATCTCATTCAACCATCCTTGCTATCATCCCAAATCTGTCTTCCTGTTTGTGGCTAAACTCCTTGAGAAAGCCTTCTGCACTGAGTGCCTCTACTTGTCCTCTCAGTCGATTGATTGTAAACCCTCTGATCTCTGATTTCTGACCTCATCATTCAACTGAAACTACTTAGTCCAGTTATGGGCAATCTCTTCATTGCCAAATCTCATGGCATTTTATCAGTCTGCTCGTGATCTCCCTGCTACCTTCGACATTGTTGACCACACTCTTCTCCTAGATATTCTCTCTTCTTTCTAGGTTTTCCTGACATTGCTCTTTTCTGGTTCTCCTACCTGTCTGGCAGCTCCTTCACAGTCTCCTGTGTTGCGTCTTCATCCGGGGCACGCCCACCAATCAGAGGAATTCCCCAAGGCTCTCCCCTGGGCCCTCCTCTCTAAGCTGTCGGAGTTGGTCATCTCATAACTTCCCATGAATGCAAATGATTCCCAGGTCAGCCCTAACTTCTTTTGTGAGAGTTTATATCACCAGCTGCCTCTTAACACATCTCTAACTTGAGACGTCCAAAACAGAAGGCATTATCTTTCCTCCCAAGGCCTCTCTCCTCTTCCAGATTTCCCTGTTAATGATAAGGGCACCCCCATTCTCCCAGCCGGTTCCAGACCTCCGTGTCATCGTTCAATCCTTTCACTCACCTTGTCTGTCCAGTCCATTGCTAAATCTTAATGTTTCTACCTTGGCAACATCTCTCCTATGTATTCCTTCCTCTCCACTCATATAGACACAGACCTACTGCAGTAATTTGGTAAAACAGAACTCTGAAAGCTCTCCTCTGACAAGGTTTCGTATGTCAGAATGATATAAAAATTGTATTATGATTATATATAATTATACATTATATAATTATGTATTACAAGTATATCATATGCATAATGTAATTATAATAACAGAGACAATCTTGTTAGACGGTCCTTGGTTTTTATCAAGTAAAGCGTAAAATAGAAATATATATATATACTCACCAGAGGTGTTTCCCACTGTTGTGGATGAGGTCCAGTATAGAGTAGAGATTGAAAAAGGATTTCTCACAGATAATGAATTCCTCCAGATGTTCCTGTTTGTAGATTACATTTTGCTGATTGTCTCAAGTCCTAGAACATTATAAAGCCTTCTTAGTTCAATCCATAATAATTCAAAAAAGTTTGGATTAACCACCTACACAGGGAAGCTAAGCGGATGAAGAATCCCCACTTTGTCCGGACTATGATGTGCAATTAGATGGACAAACTATGGAGCTCACCTACCAGTACATACATCTTATACAAACGTTACCAATTCATGATGAGTTGGTTCAGAAATGAACAGGAGAAAGTGAGTAACCTGGATTGTTTTGGGGAAATTACATCGTTCTGTTAATGTCCCCAGGATTCTCCCTGAAACAAGGAGCAAACATTTTGACTCTGACATTTTTCCAATGATGTTTCATGACTGCGAGTTGTAGAATATTGCAGTCTCTGAAAAGTCAAAGTTGAGCATCTCCCAGAAGGTAAAAGGGTTAGGGATGCTGTCAGCACGAGCAGGCTGTCGTACATCCCGAATGAGGAATTAGGCAGGAAAAGAGATGTCAAGAAAGTCCGAAGCAAGGGCTCAGGGACGGTGTGAGATGAGCTCTAAGTTCCTTTCTGGCTCCACTGCCTTTCCTCCCCTCAGTCCTCCCACGTACCCCTAGGCTTTCACTTCCAGGGAAGAAACCAGCCAGAGCTCAGAACAGAAGCTGACCTTAGAGCAAGGGCTCCTAATCTCCTCTGGGTCATGGTGAAGCCTAAGGGCCCCTTCTCAGAATGATGGTTTTAAATGCACAAAATAAAATGCATAGGAAGACAAAGGAAACCAGTTATATTGAGATACAGTTATCAACATATTAAAAAACAAGTTCATGGACACCAGATTAAGAACTTCCTGTCTTAGAGTGTTTCGTTTCAGTTCCCATCTTGCTGTTGTATACTAGCAGCTTGTTATAATTGAGGGTCACGTGGAAGGGAGCATAATAATTGCAACATTTCTATAGCATCTACTCTGTGCCAGGCTCTGTACTTAGCACTTTACCAGTATTGCCTCATTTGATCCTCACAACCACTCTGTGAGGCTGTCACTGCCCTAATCCCAAACACATCCTTTTTCATATGCAGCAACAGTGGGACTCTGGAGCTCTGTCTACCTTTAATCTGGCGCGCTCTGTCTCTTCCCCAGCCACTTTAAATCGCTTACCAGAGGACCTTGCTCCCCAAACCCACTTCTCCTCTCTTCTCAATCTCACTGCGCAGCATACAGTTGGAACCACTCTCTTAATAGAATTTTATTTTTTTCTAATTAATGTAAAGATAGTTTTCAGCATTTGCTTTTATAAGATTTTGAGTTCCAAATTTTTCTCTCTCTCTTTCTTCCCTCCACCCTCCCCAAGACAGCAAGCATTCTGATATAGGTTACACATGTAGAATCATATTAAACATGTTTCATTAGTCATGTTGTGAAAGAAGAATCAGAACAAAAGGGAAAAAACAAAAAAAGTGAAAGTAGTATGCCTTGATCAGCATTCAGACTCCACAGTTGCTTCTCTGGATGTGGACAGCATTTGCCATCATGAGTCTTCTGGAATTGTCTTAGAGCACTGTATTGCTGAGAAGACTAAGTCAGTCGTAGTTGATCATCACACAAGGTTTCTGCTGCTACGTACAATGCAGAACCACTCTCTCACCATAGTCTCTAGCTCTCTCTCCTGCTAGAACCCAGGTCTCTCAAACCTCCAAATCAGCCATCACCTGCCCTGCAGCTACCTTCTAAAGGACCTCTGTCACCAGGCCCCAGCTTCACCTTGCATGCCCTCAGGCTCACCTGCTTCACCTTTGTACCCTCCCTGGCACACAGCATCCCAGAATCCTGGCTTAGGGACCCTTAGGAGCCACTCTTGATTATATGTAGCAGCAGTTAGGACAGGGTTCTCTGACTCCCTTGGGAGCCCTGGAGAGATGGAAAGTACTTCTCCAGAGAACAACACACTCATTGGCTACTCTTGTCTCCCTCCCCTTTTCCCCAGTCACATCCCCTTTCCAGGGTGCAGTGCACAGGGTGGTTGTATAGAACTCTGACGAAGAGCAGGGCTGGTGGGACATTTTCACTACCAGCCCTCCCAATATATGCTAATCTCTCCCCTCTTTACAGAGGGGAGGAGTCGTGCTCATTGTCACTTTCATTGAGTGACAAATCCTTGATCTCATTGCATCTACTATGTATGTATCTTGCATGTACATAGTTGTTTGTCTGTCCTCTCCTCAATTAGAATGTGAGTTCCTTGAGGACCTCGTTTTTTGCTTCTTTTTGTATCCTCAGCCCTTAGCACAGTGCCTGGCACATAGCAAAGCCTTAATAAATACCTATTAACTGGCTGAATCCAACATTTAAAGCATATTTACTCATTCAGTAAACATTTATTAAGTTCCTGCTATGTTCCAGGCACGGTGCTGAGTACCGGGGATACAGAAAGAGGGTCACCGTCCCTGAGGACCTCATAGCCAGGCATGAAAATAAACACAACCAGATTCTAAAAAGAAATATATATCTCCTCATGGTCGTGTTTTTGTTTCCCTTTCTGGGCAATATGTGTTTGATAGAACATCACCGTAGCTTGGTGGTGTATAAGATGCGATAGAAATACTGGGACTGTGCAAGAGAAGTAATGATGTCATCAGGCAGGTGGGAATGTGGCCAGCGCAAATGGAGGGAGGGAGCTGAATGGTGTTTAGAGAGATGATCAAAGCTGCATTCAACATTGATGTTTATCCTTTGTGCTCCTCTGCAGTTAATGTTTGTAATGCTTCTCAAACTTGAACTGTGTGTATGATGCTTTCTGCATTTCTCCTTTTGGAATTGTGTCATTGCAGTGCTAAAAATAAAGATTTTATCAGCTCATGATAAAGGCTCTCATGCTGAAGTCAATGTGAAGATCAAAAAAGTGTTGAAATCCACCAAATTAAAGATTCTACGAGGAAAAAGAACACTCTACCCAGAGTCCTGGACCAACAGAGGCTGCACTTGCCCGATCCTTAATCCTGGTGAGTATTTGGTTTTGTTAAAGAAAAAAATGTTGAATACATCCTCGTTCCCTACAGATGTGCCTCATGTTCTATAGATGGAAAAAACCACTGGGTTTGAAGTTAGTGAATTCAGGGTCTGGCTGACACTTGCTAATGCTCTGACCCTGGTGCGGTGGTTTCCTCCTCTATAAAATAGAAATAGTAATACTTGCAGGGTTGTGGTGAGGAAAGCAGTTTGTAAACAGTGAAGCCCTATGTAATTGTGAAGTGTCATAATGACTGTTGTCCTCCAAACCACAACTCTGAATAAGCGTCCATCTTACCTTTGAAATTCTGGCAACAACTCAACCAGATCATCTTGAACTAACGTTTAAAAAAATTCTTGTTCCTATCTTTGTGCCCCATAAACTAATGTGACATTTTCAAATTTAGCAAGTTAGTGTCCTCTGCCGCAGAAGGGAGAAAGGGATCTTAATCTTTATAGTCACACTTAGCTCTTCATCTGAAAACTAGGTCTTACGATAGTGCCGTGGTTAAAGTCTTTTCTCAGAGGAAATCCAAATATGAAATTCCATCTACAGACATAATATTGAATTAATTTATTTTTGAGCAGGAAGCATCTGTTTCTTCTGGGAGGATAACAGCCTTCATTCCTTATCTTGTCTTTCATTAAATAATCATTCCAATTTCACACAAAAACCAGCAGACACTTAAAAAGTAAAGGATATTGGTAGAGGAAAATCTGTAGATGTTTCAATTTCCTTGTGACTCCGAAAATTGAAATTGTATCTAGAAGATGAGGGAGAGCAGAGCATGGAATTATTTCAGGGAAATCCTCTCCATTCCCTTGTTCATATGAATGTCACCTGCTTCGATAGCATTGCTGGGAACGGTGGCCCCATTTTTGTTCCAGTATTTCAGCTATTCAAGTTATACTAGTAAGAGTTCTGTGTTCTTTGAATGCCTGCCTTCAAAGGAACAAACCAACAACCAAATGACAGTAATGATAATTTTAACAGAATTTTTCTTCCCCCAAATCTTAAAATGAAGAAAATAACTTATAAAAGTCCTTTTGAGTTTGTTGGTGTTGCCCCCATCTCAATATTTCATCTAAATGGTATGCATTTCTATTGATGAAAAGGATAAATTATACATTTTAAAACATTATACATATTTTAAGTGGGGATAAATTTAAATAGATCAGAAAACAGAATGTTAAATTTTTAATTCCGGAAACTGAAGATCGCTAATTAAAGTAGTATTTGCCCAATGATTTAGGTTTTTGAGGTTCCTGCCAGCAATGATTCTGTTGCAAGGCCAGAATTTATTTTAAATGCCCAGATTCTTAGGAAGACATTAAAAACAAAAGGTTTAACTGTCTGAGCCACCCTCCAGGAAGTAGACTGCACTTCCTAATCAGGTTTCTGCCAAACTGACTCAAAAGAATCGACCCAGTTCATCGCAATTGGAAACCCAAGAGCAGTTATTCAAAGAATTCTGGAAAACATGTTTACTTGCTTTGAAGAAAAGACTGGGACCGGCAAAGCAAAAGCCAGACAGTCTTTTATTTTACCGTGTTTTCCATTTTCACAACTCAAAGAACTGGGGCCAAAAAAAAAGAATGATAAGAAAATTCTGGAATCTTCCACGCCTATATGTCTCCTGAAGTCACCTCAGTCACCACTAACAGGGGCTGATGTAACTAAATGAACAGACTCACAAATTCATTCAGTAAGCATTGACTGTATATCTTCTGCGTCCATATCACGGCAAGATGGGAATGGGTACTGATTGCTGATGAATGAAAAAAGCAAACCTAGGAAAATAGATATCAAATTATTTCAAGAAAACTTAGAGACAGGTGATCTGATTATTGGAAATGGAACTGGGAACCAACCTCTTACCTTCTTACCTGTGAAAAGAAATTAACCTGTTCAGCTTTCTCATAGCCAGTGGTAAGAACCCCCAGGTGCCCTCCTGACCTGTAGAAGAATAGAGTGATTTGGAGTTTTCTTTCTCTGTCATCCACAGTATAAGCAGAAAAAAAGAGCTCATACTCTTTTTAGGTCTATTACATTCTTATTTCCCTCAATAAAATTAAATAATAATCACCTTTCTATTATCACTTCTAGTGGAGGCAGAGGGAGTGGTGGTCTGGATCATTTTAGATCTGTGATTTCATCACAGTTTGGTATTTATTCTACCAACACAGGCTGCAGACCTTTCATGCCTCAAAGAGTCATCACCTGGTTGCCCCCCATGCCTGGAGCTCTCTCCCTCCTCTTCTCCACCTCCTTCCTGGCTTCTCAATCCCAGCTGAAGTCCCACTTCATGCAAGAGGCCTTTTCCAATCCTCCTTCATCTTAGTGTCTTCTGAGACTGTCTCGAGCTGGTCCTGTACATATCTTGTCTCTACATAATTGTTTGCATGTGAGACTGTGAGCTCCTTTAGCACAGGGGCAATTTTTTCTTTTTTTCTTTCTTTCTTTTTTCTTTTCTTTTCTCTTTTTTTGTGTGTTTTTTTTTGTTGTTTTTTTTTTGTACTTAGCATGGTACCTGGCATATAGTAAGTGCTAATAAATGTTGACTGACTGACTTCCAGCCTCTCTAGACTTGGTTAAACTGGTTCTCAGGTAGAAGACACAACATCTAATTTTCCAATGTAGTAGAACCTAAGAGGAGGCAGCTAGATGGCTCAGTAGGTAGAGCCCTGGGCCTGGAATCAGGAAGACCTGAGTGCAAATCTAGCTTCAGACACTTACTAGCTGTGTGATTCTGAGCAAGTCCTTTAACCTCTATTTGCCTCAATCCACTGAAGAAGGAAACCACTCCAGTATCTTTGCCAAGAAAACTCCATGGACAGCATTGGTATGCTGTGGTCCGCAGGGTCACAAAGAGTCAGACGTGACTGAACAACAAGGACCTAAGAACCCAAGCTTGTACTCTACTATCATACAGAGAGCCCTAGGTCACCTCCATGCCGTGTGATAAGGTATCAGAGTAGGCCTTTAGTGGCAGATATAAAAAAGTAGCTATTATCCCACACCTCCATCAGTAATTCGTTCGAGGGATAAGAAAGATGATAGCTAGAAAGACTTGCCAGAGCTGTCATGGCCCAAGCTAAATGTCCCAATACCCAGAGCCAAAACATCCTGGAACATCTGAAGGGCTTGGGGGTTGAGCAGGTATTAGGCTTCTTTGCAGCTGTAGAGGGAAGAGCCAGGGCCAGCAGGCAGATAGAAGTTGTCAAGAGGCAGATATTGGCTTACCGTTCCTAACGTTGAGATGTTGAGGTGTGAGTCATCTGTGTGGCTTCCCCCTCACCTGAAGTCTTTCACCTGAGTCTGGGTGATCGCACTGTATGTATCTTTGTGCAGATTCCTTTTCACGCCTAGGTTTGAGTGTGTAGATGGCAGCAAGGGCCCTTCTACCTCCTGGGATGAAAGCTGTGAATACTGGGGGATGAAACTTCCCCTGACTTTTAAAAAGACATTAAGAACAAAAGGTTTTCCCAGGGGCCTTTGATGTGTTGGTTGGTTTTATTAAGTTAGTTTTTTTCCTTTTTTAATCTTTGTTCAGGAGAAGGCTTGCTGGGTGGCAGAGGGGTGGGGGAGGATGTATTTGAAAATGAATAAGATGTAAGAACAAAAGGCATAAATCTCTTTTTTTTAAATGTAAATACAAAAAAAAATGGTTTAACTTTTGTTTTGACTTCCCTCCAGAAGTGGACTGCTTCCTAACCAGGCTTCTGCCAAGCTAAGTCAGAGTCAACAGAGTTCATCACAGTTGGAAATATTATAGCAATTATTCAAAGAATTATTCAAAAGTCCTTTGTAGTGTTTTTGTTTTTCCTCTCTGGCAGATTCATGTATGTATATTTTGTCTACCTAACTAGATCTTAAACTTCTTGCAGTAGAAACCAAATCAACTCCTTTCGTATCCCTCACAGTACCCGGTCCGATGCCAAGCACCCAATAGATGTTATTTAAATCAACAGTGAATGAATGACTAGATCTGTAGGAGCATCAAGAAAAACAAAAGAGCTTTTTGGTGATCTGCTTTTTCTACTTCAGGGGCCCTCAAAGGTCCAGACACGCTCTAGCCAATTTATTTTTGAGAGATCTAGATGTCTAGCCATAATTGTTGTGACACTTCACAGCTTTAAAAATACATATAATGATACATAAAAACAAACCAAGGCTCCAAAAATGGCATACTTTAAGAAAAAATTTAACAAATATTTTTAAACTCTTTCCTCTTCAAATTCAATAATTATTTAGGAAAAATCAAACTTTCACATACCATTCAAATGCTCTGGTCTATTAATTGAATGGTAAGTTCTGTATCTGCTAAATATGTGGCCCAGATCAAATGGTCTTCCTGGCACCCGTCTGATGGGCCTAGCTCCCACTGAGGAGAACGGAGTCATTGGTCTTTCTCTTTCAGATGAGGTTCGTGTTGCATACTTCTTTATCTTGTTATCTACCTTTTAGGTTTAGAGTACCTTATCGCAGGACATGAAGATGTAAGAACAGGAAGACTAGTTGTGAATATGAAAAGTTTTGTCCAGCACTGGAAACCAGCTCTTGGAAGAAGAGTCATGGAGATTCTGAAAAGAGATTGCAAGTAACAAAAAAGGTGTGCGGTCCCCAGTGGCATTTCTCTGCGCACGAAATGCAAACTTAATGGAAAGGAGATCTCAAAAATGAAACTGGAATGTAAAAAAAAAAAGTGCCAAAATGCATAAAGAAGTGTTGCAATACATAGGTTTCATCTGATCCCTTCTTTGGCAAATGTTTAAGTTATATATGGTAACTTCTTTGAGAAAAGTTGACAATTATTTGCATAAAGAGATGGAAAGTTGAACAAGATGTAGATAACTGGCCTCTATGGGACTGATTCTGAAATTCACATGTGATGGGAAGCACTATAATAGCCTCATAATATTTCACAGTTATCCATTAAGAGTAATGTGTCTGATGAAGACCTACCAGCATCCAAGATGTTGCTTGCATTTCATGCTATTTAAAGTCATTAGCAGGACTTCACCTAAGCACCCCAAGGACCTTATGTCAACAAAGGTGTTTCTTAGAAGAGCCTCATTTTGTTCACGGTGTATGAACTTTGGTCCGTAAGGTGTTAAATGGATCCTCTCCACGTGTAAATAATCTTTCCTTGTATAAAGCACTTTACTGCCTACCACTTTGTGATGTGGAAGTTTGGAGTTTTTACTGTGGGAAGGGAAAGAAGATGGTGGTGGTGGTGGTGGGGAACCTACAGGAACTGAAGCACCCTCACACACACCCTCTAAGTGTGGAATGAAACAGGACGAGTGAAAAAGGTTGTACACTGAACACTCAGACAAACTTTCTGAAGATGCAATCTTAAGAAAAAAATAATGTGCTTGTACTGCAGTCCCAACTTCAGACCAGTGTTTAGATTCTGCCGATATTCGCTGTGATGGAACTTTTTTAAAAAATAAATTAAAAAGAAAAGTCTTTAAAACAAGATGATGTAATCATCAGTAGAGAAGAACTTTGCCTGGGTAAAATGAAACAGACTTTAAAGAGAAGCCCCCTTTTTCAACTGCACAAGCCAGCAATTCGAAAATGGTTGCGGATGTGGAATTTATTTTATTTCTATGGTTAGTGTTTGTCTCCATGTTAAATTAGTTTTCCTCCATGTCCTTATTTGCAGCTTACATGGTCATTATTTCTCTCCATGACTATCACCAATGTATGTGACAGTTCACCAAATTAATTACCAATTTTGTCGTTATTCATCTTCTGTAATCCTTTTGAACACTACCTACAGCCTCTTCTGTACTTGAGTATACAAAAATGAACTTCGATGCTGTAAGAATCACATTATATCACTTCCTATACAGAACATATTTTTCTGAGGTCCTGTGGACTTTGCAAAAAAAAAAATATATATATAGTGTGGTTAATTTGTTTTTATATTTCATATATATAATAAAAGAATATGATTTCCTGATCATCATTTTAAAGTGCTTTAGTCTCATAAGAAATTAGCTCAGGGGCAGCTAGGTGGCGCAGTAGATAGAGCACCAGCCCTGGAATCAGGAGGACCTGAGTTCAAATGCGGCCTCAGACACATAATACTTCCTAGCTGTGTGACTCTGGGCAAGTCACTTAATGCCAATTGCCTCACTTTAAAAAAAAAAAAAGAAGAAGAAATTAACTCAACCCCAGTTTCCTGCATTGAGAAAACAAAAATATCCACTACTTAGATTTAGAATTGGACGGGACCTGCCCCTTCATTTTAATGATGGGGAAGCTGAGGTTAGTCCCAAAGGTTAAATGACTGATACACACTTAGACATATAGTAAGTTTCTGTGGTGCACTTTTCCTGAGATTTTGGCTTAGAGTGGAGTTTGGCCCCAGTGAATTGTGTTTCTACAAACATCATCTTCCTTCATCAGTCCACAAGCTTTTGACTTAACTTTGCATGGAAAAGCTCTCTGCTGACTTTATCTCATTCATCTTGACAGTGCTGAGTAATACTTAACAAAATATATATATATATATATATATATATATATATATATATATATACACACACACATACACACACACACATATATATATATATATATCTGTAAGTATGACAAAAAAAAAAGAAGCTAAAGCAGGGCTAGGGAGCCTGCAGCCTCAAGGCCACATGTGGCCCTCTAAATCCTCAAGTGCGGCCCTTTGACTGAATCCAGACTTCACAGAACAAATCCCCTTCATAAAAGGATTTGTTCTGTATAACATGGACTCAGTCAAAAAGCCGCACTCAAGCACCTAGAAGGCTACATGTGGCCTTGAGGCCACAGGTTCCCCATCCCTAAGCTAAAAGAATAATTTTAAATGTACTGCATATAGGTTTCATTCTTAAACTTCTGGATGACCCAACACTATCCTTTTATGTTTCACATAATTAAAAATCTGTTTTCAAATTTATGAAATAACTATAGCTCTTAGACTTTTAAAGTAACTAAACTTTAAAATGTACTGGATCCTGGTTTTCTTATCATTTCTAAATGTTTTTACCCTCTGAAGTATCTTTTTTGCAGTGTCTTTATTTTTTTAGGTTCATTTATTTTTAACATTCTTTTTTCTTTTAATTTTGAGTTCTAAATTCTCTCCTCCCCACCTGACCCTCCTCTATCCATTGAGAAGTCAAGCAATATGATATCAGTTATACATGTGAGATCATGCAAAACACATTTCCATATTAGCCATGTTTACAGTATCTTTAAATAGTTTTCAATTATAATTACCTCATATTGTCTTCATTCCTGTTGCACAAATCATTTGAAACTCTTGCACTCTAGTTTTAACTTTTTTTTTTTTTGGCAGTTGGGGTTAAGTGACTTGCCCAGGGTCACACAGCTAGTAAGTGTCAAGTGTTTGGTCTGAGGCCGGATTTGAACTCAGGTCCTCCTGACTTCAGGGCTGGTGCTCTATCCACTGCGCCACCTAGCTGCCCCCAGTTTTAACTTTCGTAAACAAGTTTTATAATTTCCAAAGTAGTAGGAAAGCAGCATGATACAGTGGGAAGTCAAGAGGGCCTAGGTTCAAATACTGACTTTTCCACTTACTACATGTGTAACCTCGTATAAGTCACTACCTCCCTGGGCCTCAGTTTCCATATCTGTAAAATGGGGGGGGGGGTTGGAGTAGATGGTCTCCAAGGTCCCTTCTAGCTCAAGTTATTTGATTACAAATTCTATATGATCCTGTAAGTAAATAAATGGCAAACAGTAATGTTCTCAGTTAACAAAAACAGAAGCAGAGTGTCTAGTGGGGCTACACTCCTGATGGCCTCATTCCCATTCTCCTTTAGATCTTTACAGGTTACAACTTTGAGTTAGCTGTAATAAAGATGAAATTAAATAGAGATAAATGTAAAGTCTTACATTGGGGTTCATTATATCAAACACATAAATTCAAGATGGAGGAATGATGGCAGATGAAAAAGACATCTAATAGTTTCAGGGGACTACGAACTTAGCATGAGTCAGCAGTAATTTAGCAACCAAAACAACTCCGTGAGTAGAAGCCGTGTTTTCTGAAAAGGAAGGGTGATCGTTCTGCTGTCCCCTGCCTTGCTCAGAGAACATCTGAAGTATTGTGTCCAGTTGTGGGAGTCACAGTTTAGAAAGGTTAACAAGTTGGAGCATGCCTAGAAGAGGGCAACCAGAATGGTGAGAGGACTGGCTACCATGTCGTAAGACCATCATTAAAGGAACTAGAAATATTTAACCCAGAAGAAAAGACCTTATTTGAAGGGATATCATATTTGTTCTGCCTGGTCCCAAAGGAGAGAAATTGGAATATTGGGTGAAAACTGCAGAAGTAGATTTTGGTACTAGGTGAGGGAAAACTCCTAATGACTCGAATTGTCCAGAAATGGAATGGACGACCTTCGAAGATTAAAAGATGTCCCATCACTTGAGGTCTGCAGAAAGAATCCAGATGGCCATTTGTTGAGCATGTATCTTTTACCAAGACAGAAAACTGAATGAAGCTTTCATTCATGGCTTCACATGCATGTGAGGACTTTTCCTTCCTAACTATTCTGATGGCCTTCCCTACTCCACCACCATCCCTTCCCCAGAACTCTCTACCATCTGTTTCTCTGCTTTATTAGTCAGCAGGTTTCATGAGTAATTTCCAAATGCATCAGGCATGCTTTGCCTGAGGTCAGCACAGTTTTTGCCCTCACGTTACATCATTCACCCTGCAGAGGAATGTTGCTAATATTTAATATCTGATGCAATGGAAAGTCCCAGGAATAGGATAACCTTTTCAGAGTTCCACTAATGAGGCCAAATCTATGGGGAAGTGACCATTTAATTCTAAAAACCATGTACATCTGGCTGTACTCAACAGAAAGATACAGTGTAGATTAACAAAACTCTTAGAGGGAAAATAGATGCAACTTTTTCACAAAGCAGATCCATCCCTCAATGATCAGAAATCAATTATCAACAATGGAGAGTTAGAAGGAAGGAATCTCAAAAATTCTCCATCCTTTCCTTGCTCCTTTAGGGCATGGAAGACCACTGCAGCTGACAAGCTCTGTCCACGGTCCCCAGGGTTCATTTGCTTTTGTGTTCATTGTTTCAGTGACAGGCTGTCCCCAAACCTAACCTTATCAAAGAGTCAAAGCTACTCACAACTTCTTTCCCACAGTTCAGAAGGAAAATATTTATGAATAACTATAATATTGCATGGAAGATTTGCAAAAGAGAATGAAAGAGAAGCAAAGGGGTGTCTTTTGGGATACCAATAAGGAAATTTTTAAAGAAAAGTGAGGTCCTGCCAATTCACACCCACACTGAGCCCAAAGGATTTAATTAAAATCTTTTTTTTTTTTCCCTACAGCGGCACCATGACCACATTTGACACTGCCTAAATGCCATTTAAAGTGACAAATTTCCAGGCATATTTTCTGAATGACTAAAAAGGAAATATGTTAGACATGAAAAAGGGAACTGAATAGAGGTGAAAGACATTTGCAAATTATGAGCTATAAGTTTGAAAAGGCAAAAAGGGGCACTACAAGCATACCCTGCCTAATCTCATCATTTGGTTTCACCAAAATTAAATAAGTGAATAGATAAATAGGTAGGTAGATAGATAAGGATAGATAGAACAACACTTACATGAGACAGTTCCTTAGGGGTTTTTCAGGGGAAAGGTACAGACCTATGATTTCATTAGTATAGAGAACTCTCAATGAAGAAACTACCTCTATCAATGCAGATTTATAACTTAAAATCTTTAAGCAGTGGTTCTTGGATTCATGAATTTAAAAAAAAATTTGATAATTATATTTTAATAGATTTGGCTTCCTTTGTAATCCTATGTATTTTATTTTGTGCATTCAAAAACACTATTCTGAAAAGGGGTCCATAAGCTTCACTAGATTATCAAAAGGGTCCAGGACACAAAAAAGGTTCTGTCAAAGAGAGTTGTCTGGGCCACTGAGAGGTAATATAATTTGCCCAATGTCTCACAGCCAATATATATCAAGAACGGGATTTAAACCCAGGTTTCCTTCCACCAATCCTATCTCTCTTCCATCAGAGACTTACCATAGAAGCACCATTTCCTCCATGGATGGTCCCATATAGTTAATAACTTTATTGATTATACTGGCTGATTGTCATCTTCCCAGTTCTCCA